GGCCTGGCCAGTTCCTCCCTCTCTGCTCTTCATCCCAGTTCCTGGCCTCTTCCATCGCCTGGACTTTCAGAGCCTCTACCTCAACATTCTCCTGTCCACCCGTTCTGCCTCCTGGTCTCTTCTCCACAACCAGCAGATCATGTTACCAAACAGCAAGGGATTGAATCTCCTTCTGGGACCAAGAGCTCCTGGGATAGGAGGGTATGTTGATGAGCCTTGAAACAAGGGGCTTCCTCGTGGTGCTTCAGATCCTCCTCTGGCTACTGCTTCCAAGCCTGTGCCTTCAGAGCTGCCGGTCATTAAACCAATGATTCCTGATACACACAGCAACACGGCTGTATGCACAAGGATTCCTACTGAGCCAAGGAAGCTGTACAAAAAAAGTACATATAATACCATTATCTATTTATGAATTCTACAAAATTAACACTAGTCTAAGGTGACATGAGAAAGATCAATAGTTATGTGGGAACAGGGTGAAGAGGGGAAGAGGAAGGAGGAATTCCAAGATAAGTACAGGACATTTTGGGAGAATTAATGTGCTCACTCTCGATGATATTGATTTTGACACCGGTGTTTATCATATCCCACACTCTGCATGTGTGTAGTTTATCACGTGACAAGCACACACAACAGAGCTATTACAGGTAATGACAGAGACAATTCTGGAGGAACACAGAGAGAGTAAAATTTGAGAGACGTGAAATTACACCTTCACAATCCTGATTCTCTCTGTATTTCAGGTAAATTCTAGAACAAGCAAAATCATCCTGTCCCCATTACAGGAGGGGTTCCACCTTCCTCATGAGCCTGCCCACTCTGTCCCAAGGGGGGTGTCAGGGATTCAGCACAGTACTGTGGAAGGAGCGCTGACTTATATCCTGGGGCTCACTCTCACCCCATAAATGCTGTTGGACAACTCACAAACCGTCCACAATTCTTAGTGTAGGTTCACATCACATAAGGGGGAGCATGACACCTAAACCCCAAGACTTATGTTTACATGGAAAACCAAAGTAGTACATGGAGGTCAAGAATATACACTGGAAAGTTATCAAAGAGTAAATGATATTTTTTCAAAAGTGATCAATAGCACCACATCAACGGCGGTCACACCTGCTCTGGACAGGGCCCTCTCTGTCAGCATAGATCCCAAGTTGAATATATATTCAGAGGACATGCAAATAGGGCCCTCCCTCTGCTGATTAAACCAGCTGAGCCCCAACCCTTGCAGCTGGGAGAGGAGACCCAGCCCCGGGTTCCCCAGGTGT